GCCTGGTGGTGGAGTTACCCGTTGGGCTGCAATTCACATGGCCGGCTCCTCGCTCCTCAGGAGAAAGACCAGGCTTTCTGTAAACAGTGACAGTCTCAGAAACTCACAGGGGCTCGCTATGAGTCAGCACTGACAAGATGGCAGTGAGAGAACCTCTCCCCACCCCCCACCAGCTCCAGCCCCTCAAGTCTGACTCATGTGACACCTCCATGTGTGTCAGAGTAGAACTGGGCTCCAGTGGATTTTCCGTGGCCGATTTCTCAGAAGCACATTGGCAACTCTTTCTTCCAAGGTGTTTCTGAGTGGACCAGGGTTTTCTAGCCTTTTTGCTTCGCAGTAGAGCACAGTAAATATCTGCATCACCCAGTCATGTCGTGGGGGGCAGGGGCTTGCCTTAGGAATCAGAATCCCTGCCTGAGGGGTCCAAAGACTCTGTTTATTTTCTCTAGGCGTTTCCTTTTTTAACATTTTTTTCATGTATTTTGAAACACTGAGAATATTAAGAAGAGGCCAATAAACACCACCAATCAGATTCAACCATTGCTCTTCTTTGGCCATATTGGCCACCTCGCTGTTTCTCTCCCCCCTTGAGCTGACCTGTTGGAAAGTAGATCATTGCTCAAGACCTCCCAAGTGAGGTCCGGAGGACTCTTTGGAACCCCTCCGAACCTCTCAGATGTCAAGACGATTACACATTCCATGGCTCGTGCTTTCCCCACTCCCATTCTCCCGTGAGTGCCCAGTGGAGCATTCCTGAAGCTCCTGGAAGGTGAGGTGACATAGCTACTATCACCTGCACAGGTGTCAAAGCCAGTCCTCGGTTGGTGCTAAAGTGGGTGGCCACCACTGCCTTGAGCGAGTGCCCGCTTGGTGTGAGTGAGCAGTTGTGTTTTTCCATCCCCTGGTGATCATAAACATACTCCCCTCCTCTCCTCATCACACTCAGTGCCATCGCCAGATGTTAGCTCATTTAATCATTACAACAGCCCCAAAGAGGCACTCTTCTGCCCACTAGGACAGAGAGAGACGTGCACTGTTGGCTGTTCATGTGTATTTCTATGTCAATACGGCGACCTCTCCATCAAGGTCTCCTCACACCTTGCCTCCAGTGCTTCCCCCCACCCCCCAACACTCTCCTTTCTGCCGAGCCAGCTTCCCAGCTACAACTGGCATACGGACAACCCTCCCCTTTTTAACGTCAGCTATTTCTGGAAAACCACTGCATAAAAAGGCCTTGGTGTTGTATTTTCCAATGTAGATGGCATTATGAAAAGAAATGGAATTTCTGACCTTGGGCTCAGCATCAAACAAATCATATGAAAATGAATTCTAGAATGTTGGAGCCAGAGGAACATTTATCTAGCCCAGTGGTTCTCCACCCAGGGGACATTTGGCAATGTCTGGAGACAAGTTTGGTTACCCTAACGAGTGGAAGGAAAGGAAAGGGGCAACTGGTATCAAGTGGCTAGAAGCTAGGAATGCTGCTCAACATCCCAGTGCACAGGAGGACCCCTCCACAGAGAATAACTAGTGGGTAGGGACCCAGATGCTGCCCCACACCCCATGGCATGCAAGACCCCCCACCACAGGGAATGACTAGTGGGGAAGACCAGGGATGCTTCCCCACTCCCTACAGTGCACAGGACCCCCACCACAGAGAATGACTAGTGGGGGAGACAGGGATGCTGCCCCACATCCCACAGTCCACAGGACCCCCCACCACAGAGAACGACTAGTGGGGGAGACAGGGATGCTTCCCCACTCCCCATAGTGCACAGGACCCCCCACCACAGAGAATGACTAGTGGGGGAGACAGGGATGCTTCCCCACTCCCCACAGTGCACAGGACCCCCACCACAGAGAATGACTAGTGGGGGAGACGAAGGGTGTTGCCTCACTCCCCACAGTGCACAGGACCCCCCACCACAGAGAATGACTAGTGGGTGGGGACCAGAGATATGGCTCCACACTCTACAGTGCACAGGAAGGGCCCTACATTAGAGAGTCCTTGAGCTTGAATGTCAATAGTTAGGCTAACAAACCCCGCTCAAAATCACTTCACCACTTGGAGGGTGAAAAACCAGAGGCGCACCTTTACCAAGTGACTTATCTGAGGGGACACAGGAGAATCCAGGTCTCCGCCTTGCTCTAAGGTTGGGCTGGGGTGGGGGTGGGGGCGGATAGGGGAAAGTTAGGAGCTAGAAATCTCAATTTTCATAGCCAACCAGAACCAAAGGGAGAAAATGGCAATCAGGGACAAAACGCCTTCTTCAGTGAGACATTAAAACAACAATGCTTGACAGCTGTGCCCCAAACGCCCTGGACACTCACGTTTCTCCATCTGGAAAGCTCCAGTCCAGTACACAGAGCCCACGGTTCCCAGCAGAATCACATTGACATGAAAGAATATGTCAAAAAATTTAATAGAGGTCATTTTATCCTAAAGGCACATCCTAGCACAATTTCCTCTAGAGCCAGTGAAAGGGATGCAAACGCCAATCCTGAGCCTCCTAAGAAGCCATTCAAATCCCACCGCCTGCCAGGCTCCAGCTCAAAAGTCACCTGACCCCCTCCATCTGCCGCTGAGTCACCAGAGCCCCTCTTTCAGCAAGCTACTTATGCAGCAAGGGGATCCAAAGGAAGACTGCTGGGAAGGTTTGGGGGTGGGGATTCTTCTCCATCAGGCGCGCCTCTAAAGACCATTTTGTCCTCAGAGATGTAGGTGGCTGCTTCACTCTCTCCTCTCTCTTATTTTATTGACTACGTGTATTTTTCAATCCACTTAAAATCCCTGGAAGGGGTTGGGGGTGAGAGGGTGGCATCAATGATCAATTTTGAGAGCTCTCTTTTAAATGAGAACATCTTGCCAAAACGACGTACACCAATGTAGACTGCACAGCTAGCTCTGAAATCGCTAGTCACTAAGTTTCCACTCTCCGGCAAAAAACTAGCCAACGGCCAACCGGCAAGGCCCTGTTCAGAGAACTGGTAAATGTGGTATTTCAGAAGCGCAGGGACAGTTGGAACCAGTTGACAGGCATCTTTGAATAGCCTCTTTCTCGCCTCATAATACAAGTATTGTCATCATGCCAGGTGGTTTTCCTCCTGAGCAAGAGGAGGCCTGGCCTCTGCGCGCTTCCCAGGGAGGGGCACGCAGGGACCCAAGTCACGCGTGGGCCTGCCACCCGCCATCCCCGCCTGGTGCGCACGGCGACAGCAGCAGGCGGCCATGGGCAGGCAGCGCAGCCGCCACAGCCACAGGCCCAGCTCGCTCTGGGTGGCGCCGTGGGCCGGGAGGGCGCCCCTTACCTGAACTGCCGCATCGCGCAGCCGGCCGCCCACCTGGACCACAGCCTAGAGCATCCTTTCTCCAGAGAAACGGCAGGAGCGCGCTGACGTCACAAAGAGGCGGAGCCGGCGCGCCACGTGACGCCTCTAGGTTCGGCGCGGCAGGTGGGGGAGATGGGGGCAAAGATCACACCCGTCCCTGGAGCTGAGAAGCTAGCGGCCAGTGATGCGTGCATTCCCTTGGGGGCGTTCGCTTGGTGTGTGCAGCTCGACGCTCCTTCCACGAAGGATCATGGAAAACAAACGTCACAAGAATGAAATAGCTAATTTATGACAGAGTCCACGCTTTCAAAACCACCAGCCAGAAGGGGATCGGAAAGGAAAAGAAATAAACCCAGTTTCCTGTTTGTTTGTTTGTTTTTCAACATTTATCTGTTTGAGATATTGCACCTAAATTACATTTCAAAAACATTCCTGATCAAAAGCAATGCAGAGATAAATTTTTTTTGTGCAACGCAAAATGACACTTAAAATATAGAGTTCCTGAATATACTTTGCATAAATGCTCAGTGTTTCAAATAGGATCGCAAACACTTGCATGTGAAGCTTATTACACTAACCGCACTGCTAAAACAAAGCAAAAACAACAACAACAACAAAACCTTTGAATGACTTGCACTAGCTAACTTTCAAGATTAATCTGCTTTTGCCCAAAGCAAACCACCGGGGTATCACTTATTTACATTAGTGACTGCAACATTTGATTCTGTAAAATCATGCCTGGTGGTGCAGAGCTCGGTGTGTTTGTTTTCTTAAATCTTCCAGCCACTGGGTTTCATCTCTCACACATTCAAGAGTCCATACACAATAACTCATTTTTTTCCACATTTCTCATTCTCTCACATTCTGCAGTGATTCATAATAAAGAGGCTATGTAGAATGGCAACCATGCTCATTTATAACAGCCTTGCCTAGAAAGCCTTAGAAAAGTCGAACTGTAGCCATCTCTTAAATTTGACATTGTCGATTTCAATCTTAAGCGGTGAACATATGAAGTTTTTCTTAGCCAAACCACATCAATGCTTTTGAAATGGTCAGAGGGCAGAAGCAGAAGCTGTTTTCCTTGTATTCCCATTTCGCGTTGATCACTTTCACTCCACTTTAAATCCTACTTTTGTCTCTTTGCTCACACCCGCCAAAGAGAAGTCAAAAGGATCCTTTTTCCAACAGGCAAGAGATCCTTTGACTTGCTCATTATCCCAGCAGCTTCCGGTCCTTCCGAGTTGAACCCTGAGAGAGCCTTGGTGGTGTAGCCAGCCGGGAAGAGTTGCGCTGCCAACCGAGAGGTCAGGTGCTTTGCGCGACTCCCTGGTAGGAAGATGTTACCAGTCTGCTTCCATAAAGAAACCCTATTGGAGACGTTTTACTCTGTCCCATAGGGTCTCCATGAGATGTTAATCCACAACCACAGGTTTGAGTTGGGGGTTTATATTTAACCCGGGTCCCTCCACTCCCCAAGCCCCCCTCCTCCCCCTTCCCTCCAGATTAACCAAATCTCTGTTCCGGAGGTCTGTCGCTAATTTGGGGATAAAGAAGGTCCTTGTCTCTCACAGTGATCAATTATTTTCAACAGCCACTTTTAAAAATCAACATAGTGGCAGTGTGACCTTCTCGGTCCCCTTTCTCATCTGTCCTTCGGAATGATCCTTTACCTTTGGCTTTCAGATTCCTTGGCGAGACAGTTTCGACGCTACAGGGAGCCACTGCGCCTTTGGGTGGAGGGGTGGATGAAGACAGGACCTGACAAGTTCATATTCCTGCCAGAGGCAAATGTTGACTGCAGCTCCGGGAGCCCAGAGGGCCCGAGAGCATCACGTGCGCAGCGCAGCCACTCAAGCCCTGCTCAGCCGGCTCAGTCACCTCTTGGCACCGGAGGCCCCCAAGGCGGGTGCCAAGCTCGTCCGCCTTCTGTGCTGGGTGCTTTCGAGTCCAGAGGGAAGCCAGCAGTCCTGACACAGCACAGCACGGCCCGCCCTCTGACTGTGACCGGAGTTCCAAGAGTCGCTTGGGGAGGGGTTAATAGGATATGCACTCCTGTGCTTAGCAAAGCACCGCTGCGAAGAGTCCTCTGCAGGCCCCTTCCGTCCAGTCGGAATCCACTGGACAGCAGTAGATCGGGGATTTCTTTATGGTTTGGATTTTTTTTCTTTCTTTTTTCTTCTTCACCAGGGTCGTTTTATTTTGTTTTTTTGCAATAGGGCTACTTTCATCTGCTCCTTTCTAGGTGTTTGCTCAATTGACTGCAAAAAGCCATAGAACAAACAGAAGTAACTCAGGAAAGTCCTAATGCAGGCGTGTCATTTGCAAGACAATGCAAGGACTCCTCGTCCAACACCCCCCCCACCCCCCAACCATCAACTGGTCTTTTTGCAAGGATTTTTTTAAGAACAAAAAATTTTTAATTGAAAAAACTAAACTAAACATACCTAACCGGAGAATGTAAATTGACTGTCTTCTTGGATCGCAGGCCAATCTGCACTTGCCATGTGGACAGTGCAGGCCAGGTTTCCTCTTGGCAGACATTGAATCACAATGAGAGGGCCCACAGCCCCCAACCCATCTGTGACTGTCCAATCAATTTTGACGCATAATAATAGTCATAGATTACCCTTTGATATTTCATTTCTCCCATTTTCCTCCCAGATTTCTGTTTGAGTCTTTGCAATGTTTTCCTTTTGATTCTTTGCCTCTTTCCCACAAACTTCACGCAGGGCTGGAATAGTGGTTCTCAACATGTCAAAAGGGGGATATTTTTCAATATCTGGGCTTGGACTTCTAACTGCAAAATAAGCAGTTCAAACCTACCAGTAGCTGTCAGGGAGACAGGTGAGGCTATCTGCTCCCATAAAGATTCATAAAGGCTCAGAAGCCATATATAAGAGTGCTGTAAGTGGAAACCGACTCATGCAATGGATCTGGGGGCATTTTTGATTGTCACAACAGGGAAAGGGGAGCTGCTGACATTTAGTGGGCGGAGGCCAGGAATTTTGCCAAACACGGGGTGGCTCCCACAGCAAAGAAACATCAGTCCCCCAAATATCCTCAAGGTTGATAAAAACAGGTTTAGAATTGCCTATAAAGCATAATTTGGACCCAAAGTGTTGCCCTTCCAAACCATGTTTAGAGCTCACCATTGTATAATGTATTAGAGGCTCTGCGCTCGTAATAAATCCCTCCAAGGCCATGCTGCCAATACCTGGGAAATATGATTATCTATGCTAACTCTGAGGTCCATAGTCGCTATGATCCGCACCATTGAACACCGTTGCAGAGTCAGGAAAGCATTAACAAGCTTCTTGCCGCCGTTCTATGCTTTCAGCGAGGCTCCGCCTAACACGAGCGATGAAAGTCCTCTGCCACTGCCTTGAGTTTCTGAGCCCTCTTATTGTGTCCTTTCACTATACTTATTTAACCTGTATGCTGAGTAAGTGATCGGAGAAGCTGAACTAGATGACAAATGTGGCATCAGGTTGGAGAAGGCTCGGTAACAGCGTGCAGATGACAAAGGTATGCTGGCTGAAGGAGAGGACAATTTGAAGGACTTGTTGATGAAGATCAAGGACTGCAGCCCTCAGTAGGTGTGGTAGTCACCTAATCTGGTGTCAATTTAAGGATGAAGAGTGTAGGGGTGGAGTCTAGGCTGTCAATCTGGAGATCGCCAATGAGACTTCTGTGTGGGCATGGCCTTTTCCTGAGAATTCTGGGAAATCTGGGACTTCCTCCTTGAAGGCGGAAGACACCTCTCTCTCCCTGCTACTCCCTGGGAGACATGGCAGAAGACAAGCCACATGGACGCAACCAGACCTCGGAACCAAAGAAGCCACAGAGAGACCCCTGCCAGCGCTGAGATGCTAACAACGCCACTGGACCCAAAGACTTTCTACCCACTGGCTTGTGATCGTCCTGCATTAGGTTTAATTGTATGTGTTGCGTGAGTCTGAAGAGGACTTTATAGATTGGTATCAGACATATGGCCTAATATCAGACTTGTGGCCTTGGACTGGACTGGGTTAGGATGTTTACTCTATGTTCAATTCCTCATGTATATAAACCTTTCACTTATATACATATGCGTGTTTATGAATTTGTTTCTCTAGTCCACCCGGACTAACACAGTATGGATCACAACTCAATGTAAAGAAAACTAAAACCTTACAACTGGAGCAATAGACAGCATAAAGATAAATGGAGAAAAGATCGACCGTGTCAGATTTCATTTTGCTTGGATCCTCAATCAATGCTCGTGGAAGCAGCAGTCAAGCCATCAAGTAAAGGAATACATTGGACAAATCTGGTGTACAAGACTTCTTTGGACTGTTGAAGAACAATGATGTGATTTCAAACCCTAGCCCAAGCCCATGGCCTCATACATATGTGAGAGTCAGACATTGAATAAGGAAGACCACAGCAGAATTGATGAATTTGAATTACGGTGTTGGCGAACATTGGAAAATATCTTGGGCTGCCAGAAGAATAAACTAATCTGTCTTGGAAGAAGTACAACCAGAATGCTCTCTAGAAGGAAGGTTGGTACCACTACTTCTAAAGTGCTTTGGACATGTTATTATCAAGAGAAACCAGTCACTGGAAGAGGGCATCATGCTTGGTGAAGGACAAGGGCAGGGAAAAAGAGGAAGCTCATCCAAGAGATGGATTGGCATAGTGGCTGCAACAATGGGCTCAGTCATAGCAGTGATTGTGAGGATCATGGGAGACCAGTCCATGTTTCCTTCTGTTATGCACAGGGTCGCTACCAGTCAGAACCTAACAATAACCTCTGAAATGATACACAAGAAACCACCGATGGTGGTTAGCCCTGGGGAAAGACATCGGGTAGCTAAAGCACCCATTGCTATCACATTAATGTTTATTCATAGTGACCCTATGAACCAAAATACCAACCCCCACTGCCCCTGAGTCAAACACTTTCCAAGGCAGTAATCTTTATGGAAGCCGATTGTCCCCCCTTTCTCCCGCCAAATGGCCGATGGGATAGAACAATGGGCCACTTGAACTACTGGGCTGCCATGACTTTTCATGCTCTTGTTGTGTGATGCCATTGAGTCAGTACTGACCCAGAGCAACCCTATGCACAACAGAAGGAAACACTGCTCAGTCCTGTGTCACCCTCACAACTGTTCCTACGTGTGAGCCCATTGTTGCAGCCACTGTGTCCATCCATCCTGTTGTGGGCCTGCCGCTTCTTCGCTGCTCCTCTGCCTAACCAGGAGGACAGTGAAAAAGGCTCAAGGCTTCCTCGCTTTCACTGTCCCTCTACTTTAGCACCCGTGTCTGTCAGTCTGTTTTAGTGTGGTGGCTTGTGTGTTGCTATGACCCTGGGAAGGTATGTCATGGGTATTTCAAATGCCAGCAGGCTCACCCAAAGTGAACAGGTTTCAGCGGAGCTTCCAGACTAAGAAGAGACAACAAAGAAAGACTTGACTCCCCACTTTGGAGGAAGAAGCCTCTGACAGACTTACGTACAGCGTTGAAGCATTGTCAATTACTGAAAGCCTAAACAGAGGAAGCGGAACATGGTTGGAGATATTGCCAACAGAGAGGCCCCTCGGGTCTGAGGGCACTCTGAACGTACCTGAAAAGGAGATGGTTTCTTGGAGGGAAGTGGACCACGGTGATGTGAGTCCGAAAACACCTGTGGGAGTGGAGCCTTCAGGATCTTCATTTGCTGATGTGATGGGACATGACTCAAGGTCAAGAGAAACAGCTGCTAAAACCTGCTAATGATTGGAACTTGGAATGTGTGAAGTATGAATTCAAGAAAACTGGAAATGGTCGAAAAACTAAAGGAAATGCATGATGATCTATCTCCTAGGTGTTTGAGAGCTGAAATGGACTGGTATTGGTCATTTTGAACCAGAAAACCAAATTATTTACTATGTCGGGAATAACACAATCAAGAAAACTAGCTCAGTTTTCATCGTCAGAAAGGATCTTGCTAAATCTGTCATGAAGTACATTGCTGTCTGTGATTGGATTCTATATATCTGCCTTCAAGGAAATCCAAACTATTATTCAAACTTACCCACCAACCACAAAAGCTAGCGATGAAGAAATTGAGCAATTCTACCAACTACTCCAGTTGGAAATTGATCAAATATGCAATCAAGATGCATTGATAGTCAGTGAATGGAATGCAAATAGTAGAAACGAAGAAGGAACAGTAGGTGGAAAATATGGCATTGGTGATAGAAACAGAGCTGGAGATGGCATGATAGAATTTTGCAAAACCAATGACTTGTTCATAGCAAATGCCTACCTTTCCTCAACAACCCAAAAGGCAACTAGACACATGGACTTCCCCTGATGGAGTACACAGAAATCAAATTGACTACATCTGTGGGAAGACCCGATGGAGAAGCCCAATATCAGCAGGTAAAATCAGGTCGTGGGCTGACCATCTGGGGAACAGACCATCAATTGCTCATATGTAAATTCAAGATAATGCTGAAGAAAAGTAAAAACAAGTCCACAGGAGCCGAAATACGACCTTTGTGTACCCCCACCTGAATTTCCAGAACATCCCAAGAACAGATTTGAGGCATTGAACCCTAAAGACAGAAGATCTGATGAGCTGTGAGAGGACAGCAAGACCATCATTCACGAAGAAAGCAAAAGGTCATTAAAAAGATAGGAAAGAAAGAAAAGATCAAAGTCAATCTCAGAAGAGACTCTGAAATTTGCTATTAATTGTAGAAGACCAAAAGCAAAGGGAAGAAAGGATGAAGTCAAAGAGCTAAAGCAAACATTTCAAAGGGCAACTCAAGAAGACAAAACCAAAT